TGGCACCGGGTCAGTGTCACCGTCACCCAGTGAGGGACATTGGGGACATCGGGGATCCCTGGAGATCAATGGGATCTGTGGGACCTAAAGGGTTCCATGGCTTCAAAGAGTCCTAGAGACCCCAAAATGTCCTACAGACCCTGAAATGTCCTAGAGACCCCAAAGTGTTCTATGGACCTCAATGGGTTCCATGGTCCCAAAATGTCCTAGAGACCCCAAAATGTCCTATAGGCCCTAAAATGTCCTAGAGACCTCAATGGGTTCCATGACCCCAAAATGTCCTAGAGACCCCAAAATGTCCTACAGACCCCAAAATGTCCTATAGGCCCTAAAATGTCCTAGAGACCCCAAAATGCCCTACAGACCCCAAAAGATCCTGCAGACCCCAAAGATCCTGCAGACCCCAAAGTGCCCTACAGACCCCAATGGGTTCCATGGCCCCAAAATGTCCTATAGGCCCTAAAATGTCCTAGAGACCCCAAAATATCCTACAGACCCCAAAGTGCCCTACAGACCCCAATGGGTCCCATGGCCCCAAAATGTCCTATAGGCCCTAAAATGTCCTAGAGACCCCAAAGATCCTGCAGACCCCAAAGTGTCCTATGGACCTCAATGGATTCCATGGCCCCAAAATGTCCTACAGACCCCAAAATGTCCTACAGACCCCAAAGTGTCCTACAGACCCCAAAGTGTCCTACAGACCCCAAAGTGCCCTACAGACCCCAATGGGTTCCATGGTCCCAAAATGTCCTAGAGACCCCAAAATGTCCTAGAGACCCCAATGGGTTCCATGGCCCCAAAATGTCCTACAGACCCCAAAATGTCCTAGAGACCCTAAAATGTCCTACAGACCCCAAAATGTCCTACAGACCCCAAAAGATCCTGCAGACCCCAAAGTGTCCTATGGACCCCAATGGGTTCCATGGCCACAAAATGTCCTACAGACCCTAAAATGTCCTACAGACCCCAAAATGTCCTACCGACCCCAAAATGTCCTATAGGCCCTAAAATGTCCTATAGGCCACAAAATGTCCTATAGGCCCTAAAATGTCCTACAGACCCCAAAGTGCCCTACAGACCCCAATGGGTTCCATGGCCACAAAATGTCCTAGAGACCCCAAAATGTCCTACAGAACCCAAAATGTCCTATAGGCCCTAAAATGTCCTAGAGACCCCAAAATGTCCTACAGACCCCAAAGTGTCCTATGGACCTCAATGGGTTCCATGGCCCCAAAATGTCCTACAGACCCCAAAATGTCCTAGAGACCCCAAAAGATCCTGCAGACCCCAAAGTTTTCTATGGACCCCAAAGAGTCCTGCAGACCCCAAAAGGTCCTACAGACCCTAATGGGTTCCATGGCCCCAAAATGTCCTGCAGACCCCAAAATGTCCTGCACACCCCAATGGGTTCCATGGCCCCAAAATATCCTACAGACCCAAAAATGTCTTATGGACCCCAATGGGTTCTACAGACCCCAAATCATCCTACAGA